CGTAACGCAGCAACAACGTTAGTTTCGGCCTGGGTTAGTTCCCCCTGGCGCTGGTTTCACAGGAGCGAGGGCCAGGGGAGGGCTGGGCAAGGGGGTGGGAACGAGGCGGGGCGAGGACAGGCCTGCTCCCTCCAGGGGTGGCGCTGGTACGTATTATCGTTCTTGTCAGTTAAGCGGCTGCCTTCTGTCACAGTCCATAAAGCTGGTTCGTTTCTGTTGTCCTTATGTGTCCTGTTAGCGGATGAACGTATGTCACTGTAATAAGCACTGTGAAGACAGTCAGCCCTAAGTTTTAAGGAGGACCCACAGGCTAGAGAGGGAAACGTGTTGGTTGCTCTGATAGGCAGGCATCCCATCACAGCAGATTAGATAAGATTTTTCTTGTTTCCTTTTGTGTGAAAAGCATGGCTTATGGAAAAGAGATTATCTCATTACAACCAGATTGTGTAAGTTGGAAGAGAGAATGAGTTTCTCTGCTCTGCCAATTGTATCCGCTGCCCCTCTTATAGAATATTGTCTCGTTGTATAAATCTATTTTTACGTAGGCGCTGGTTAAGGCTTTTGCTGTGTGTCTGTGTACAAATAGGTATTATGGTAAAAGAGAGGCATAAGGATCAGATGATCACCTAGTATCCCCAACTATTCAGTGACTCTGTTGAGCTCAGAGGCTTTTTTGTCATCAGGTGTAGAACACCACATGAAAACTAGAGACCTATGCATTTGTTGTCCAGATGATTCACCTGTGTATCTATTGCTGTGGGTGCTTTTTTTCTTCTTCTCTTTCAGATTCTGGCTTTTAGGGGTTTGTCAGCTTCTGCATTGATGCAATGAAGAAAATTCTAGTGGCCTGAGTATATGTGGAGAAGTAGAACAAGAACTTGTTAATTTTTCTTGTATGTAAATGTTGTCCCTTGCCTTACGTCCTGCAAATGAAAAGAAGAAAGATTAGCATTCTGATTGTTTTAGGGAAAAATTGGTGCTATCTCAGCAGTTCTGGACTGCTCTTTTCTTAGTCAAGTAGTCTCTGAGAAGGTTTTGTGAAGTATTTTGTCCAGGTGATGTTCTTGCTGGGGTGCATGTGTGTGTGTTTGTTTTCATTTTGGTTTTTTTTTTGGTTTTGTTTCTTTTTTAATCTCCTCTTTTCAGTATTCCTCCTTCTTACTGTTTGATCCATGAGGGAAATGTGGTGGAGCTGCAAATCCTGATTCAGCAGCAGGACAAAGATGAATACAAGTAAGTTTGCCCAAAGTGGAAACAAAGATTGTATGCTAGCCACTGATTTCAGCACTTGGAATTATTTGATGACAGCTGACTCACAAGCTTCCTTTTCAAACTGCCTGAAATAGGTCATCTCAGCTTGAGGTCTTTACCTAGTATGTTTCAAAATGTTTGCTCTTTTTATTTGTAATTGTGTTCAAATGCATAAACTTAAACGATCAGAAAAGGGTTGTTTTTAACAGAATGGGGCATAGGTTGTTAGGTTCATCAGAGATTCATGATGGTTGCATTAAACTCAACAATTGTTAATTCAGACAAAACTCTTGCAGCAGTACTTGTTGGCTGCCACTTTAAAAAAGTCTTATCCAAAGCTTTTGTTCCTGAAGTGCTTTAAAGACCAGGTGGCCTGTGAAGTGTAATTAAAAGACTAGCTATTTTCTCACAGCTTGAAATCATACCAGACTTCTGAGGCTTTGATCACAGTCCATGTCTGAGCAGTAATTACTGTTTTGTCACTACATCTTCAGCTTTCATTTCTAGACAAAGAAAAATAATAGGACCAAGAATCTATCCAGAAGATGGTATTGTTGTAAAAGCTATATGTTACTAACACTGATGGCTTTTGGCTGTACGGAAGTCCAGATGTAAAGTGCAGATCAAGGGATCTTGTCTCTGATGTTTTCAGTGCAAGCTACTTTCTAAAGAGCATTGAGAGTTGTTCCTTTACTGGCTCTTGCAGCTCAAGTCTTGTTTTATTCTCTGGTAGGCTATTTTATCGATGCCTTAAAAGTAAATTGAATGGGAAGAAATGGTGTGGAAGCATCCCGTGGCAGGTATGAGCATGGCATTTATATCAGAATATCTGCTTGTTCCAGAATGAACAGTCATTGTGGAACAGGTAATCCGCTCTGAGATTACATAGTAGGAGAGTTTGTACTTTCTAGCTCAAAAGGCTATCAGCCCACTGCACTCCGAGTGAGACCTCTCTTATCCTAAATGCGTGTGCGAACTAATCCCTATTCTCTGCTCTTAGAGACTTGGGTTTGGTCTCCAGGTGTTCCCTTTCCCTGAGAAGGGTGCTGTTGAGACTTGCTCCCCAAAAACAATGGGAATGGCAAAGACAGTAGAAAAGCAGCAGTGATCTTACAAGGAAAACAATCGAGAGGAAAATGTTTACCCTGACCCTGTTAAAATGATAGGAAAGGTGTTGTCTATAGAGACCGAAATCTTGCTTGACGTAACTAGGTTGTATGCATAGTTGTGGTATCCCATAATTTGTATGTTAGCATTAATTCTACTTGTATGTATTTCAGGATCCAAAAGCTGCCAAAGCATCAAAACATTTAGAATCACAGCCTACCTCAGTACCTCCTTTCAATCCCAGTGGCCAACGAAATCCATTCAAAGTGATAGACAAGAATCGTGACCCATCAACCTGGAAACAAATTAAACAAGGCATGGGAGAGGAAAGTAGAGCAAAAGGGAATAAACCAGAGAAAGAGAGTGTGCTGGTATTGGATAAAGAAAAGAAATCAACCTCATACTCCCCCATAGAGAGAGAGCCTCTAGAAGGACCGAAAACTGAACAGAAGCAGTCCAAGGGAAATAAGAGTGACCAAGAATTTAAGGAAAGCATGGTATCTGAATCTAAATGTAGTCTTTCTGAGACTTGGAAAGTGAAAAATGCCCCTTGGGATGAAGGGAAACATGGTGGCAGTGGCAGGGGATTTAATAAGTCTTCTGACTATCTGGAGAAAGAGGCGACTGGAAGATCAAAGTCCTTTTCACTAAGCCGTGGAAACCAAAGCACAAGTGCCAAGTGTCCAGACGAAGGGCAGCTCAGAGAGAAAACCTTAAAAAGCTGTGGAGATAAAGAAACCAAAGAGAAAGAATGGACTGATGGGAAGAATGAAGAGATGAAACCAAGGTTTGAAGAAAACGCAGTTTCCCCGACAGTACTGCAACTAGCGTTGCAACATGCTCTCCTGAAGGGGGGAGCAGAGGCAAAGACAGCACCATCCAAGATACAGTTAATGCCGGAGCTTGGACAGCCTGCTGATCGAGTCTCTGGTGGTGACAGTGATGAAGCAGCGCTACTTTCTTCCACATCTGGTAAAGGTGAACCTGAGAAGCTGGTGCCAGGTTTGCGGCCTTGCCAGGAGCTGCAGCATCACTTCACACAGAAGGACCTCAGGACCCTAAAGCCCTTCACAACCATCTTGTCGTGCAGCTGAGGCAGAAGAAGGTCATTTACTGTTGCTATTATTCCCTTTTCTTCTATGCTCAAGGTGACTTCCTCCACTCACGTCAGGCAGCAGAAAGCAGTATCTGCTCACAGCAGTAACTTTCTGAAAGTTGGAGTTCTGGAGTTTCAAGGGGTGAAATTCGGTGTAGGCATAGATTAGTTGCTTTAAAACACGTATGAGACAATTCTCCTAAAGCAGTGTAACCTTGTCTCTGGAGTTGCCCAGTTTTTACTTGCCCGAGGTTGTCTCTCTCTTACCCAGAAAGTAATTTGTGTAAGATGGAACAGTTTGCAGTGAACATAAGCTTTCTTAACTGTGTCTGTTTCTGTTTGTTTCTCTTGGTCTTGTGCGGAAAGAGTTGTGATCTAGCCATGAAAACCCCTACCGGGGTGTAGTACACTAGCTTTCTGCCTGGTCATTTATAATTGCCAATAATATGTTCCAGAATTTGTATTATTAAAAAAAATCCCTCTGTTTGCCCAGAGCTCAAAACAGAACTCTGAAATGAACCATCAGAGGTGTTGTTGCTAATGGTACAGAGAAGTGCAAGTAGCCTGGGCTTTGGGTGCTTGGAGAGATGTTAAGATCATGCAAGTCACTTGACTGCCTGACTGCCCTGTTCCACAAACAGGTGGAGGCCCCACATCCTTCCATGTTTTCTAAAGTACAATAATTGTTAATTTATTTTCTGCTAAAAGACTATTCAAGTGCACTGAAGTGCACTTAAATGCTTTTGGAGATTGTAGAACTGTGTTAAAATATGAATTGCTATGGTATAAGATTACCATTTTTAGACTTCTGACTTCCTGATTGTTCCCTGTGGGCAGCAATCTTAGTAAAGCACATTCAGGTTTTGGATATATTCTTGTTTTGTAGAGCACACTGGCTACAGTGAATGTTCAGCTTCTGCCAGATAAAGGGAAACGGTTATTAAAGCAAGTGCAGGATTTGGAAGCTGCAATCAGTGCTCTTAACATTTCAGCAGGCGACACTACAGAAGAAGGTAGAGCTTCCCCCTCCCGGCCTCCGGAACTTTGCAAAACAGTTTGCCTTGCTATAGTTGTTAATGTTGTGGAAAAATAGCATAAACTTATGCATGGCATGTGGGCTCTACAGAGTTTGTCTGTTGAGATTCACTGAAGACAAACACGGTATTAGTGTTCAACCTGCGATCCCTTTCTTCTTAAGGGGAGAACAGTGCAAGGAGTGGCTGTCATGAAGAACCTTCGCCTAATCCATTTGGCAGACCAGGTGGTACAAAGCTCATAACACCACTTCCACTCTGGGATCCTACAGCAGGAGCCCCTTCAGGCTCACATGGTCACCGCTCTGCTGCTGCTGCTTTGGGTTCCAGTGAATATTGCAGTCATGGTTTTGGAAGTAAGTATAGGAAGATGTTTTTTAATTCATTAGAGAACACTGGTGAGCGCCACTTCCGAGTGAATCCTGAAACTTGTGGATGTGTGAGGGTACTAAACGTTTTCTGTTACTGAGAGCCCTAGGCATCTGTGGCCACTAAGATCCATCTCTGAGATGAGAAACTGTGCTTGGGAGACTTAGCTTTGTAAACATACCTCAGATGTAACGCTCTGTCTTTCTAGTGAACTCTGGCGTGCAGAATCTGTATGGAGGAAGAATGACGGAAGACCGAATCAGGGCTGTACACAGTGCCACAAGCAATGCTATTAATCATCTTCACAAATCTCTGGAATCCTGTCCGACAGAGCAGACAGTGGCTGAAGATCCCTCTGGGTTGAAGGTGAGTTGGCAAGAAAAGATGTTGACTGCTGAATTTAGACGTTTCTTGTTGCCTTCATCACGAAGTGGTGAAGTGATGTTCACCAGAGATGATGCCCTGGAGCATCCTGTCCCCTCACATTTGAAATTACTTCCCATTTTTCAGCCTGCTGGGAGAAGGCAGTCTAAGTGCTTCCTGCCCATGAGAGTTGTTTCAGATTGCCAATATTGATGTTCTGCCCTCCTGCCTGAAGTAGTAGTACCTCAGACAACGCAACAAACCCACAATTATTTGTATGGACGTGACTGGCGGAGCGGACGCAGGTGTCTAGCAAGAAACAGACTATCTGAGAACTCTGTTCTTGCTCTTTTCTCCCATTTAGATCTCCTAGTCAGCTATGAGAAGTAGTTTTGTAGTGTTGCAGAAGACTGAGTCTGTGCAACCTAACAGACTCCAGATTAGTCCATTCTGATCTGCTGAGGAGCAGCTCTTGGTCTGTATAGTGGTGCAGAACCCATTTACAAGGTTATGTGCAAGGTGTTGGAAGGCATGTGCCTCTACAAGGTAGTGCATTTATGTGTAGATATCATATCATTTGTGAGATTCACTTCGGACCTTTCAATGCCAGAGAAGTCATTTAATGTCACATGGTGATAGTATTTGGGCCCCACTCCATCTTTCCTAAGAGCCTGTAGGAGTCTTAGAGTCGATAAGAAAAGAAGTGCTTTCAATCCCCCCTTCCTTGACAGTGACACATGTTGTGAGCATGGCAGGGTTAGCTGGATTTTTCCACTTGAATAAGCCACCTTCTCATGCTCTCAGAGCAGTGTGAGGCTCGAGGACTCAAGGATGGCTTGTGTGGAAGCATTAGTGGGTCTGACTATAGTACTGCTGGGCTCCTCTCTGCAGGAATTGCTTCTCTTAGGTGTCCCTGTCAATGTGGGACAAGAATAGGTAAACAGATTCCTTTTAGTAAGGCTAGTAGGACAGCTCAGCTGGATAGTTTGATATAGAAAGCAGAAGTGTCTGTGCAAAGCATTTCCTTCAAATCCTGTGTCTTACCCTCCCAGGTTCCACTGCTGCTGCACCAAAAGCAAGCTCTTGCATGGCTACTCTGGAGGGAGAGCCAGAGCCCATGTGGAGGTATTCTGGGTAAGCAACAGAATGGGGAAGTGGATTTTGGGGGCAGATTTATGCCAGCAAACCTTGGCACATAACTTACTCTGAGGCTAATAATCAGTTATCTGTAGGCCTGTCAAAGGGCTTGTTCTTCCATGTGTTTCAAGTAATTACAGCTGTTAACCCATGGGTTAAATTGTGCCCTGAAACGGTTAGACTTCTGCTTCCAGAATTCCCCTGGGTACTTTCTGTTGTGTTAGTTGTTTCAGAGTAGATCTGAGCTGGGGGGGGCTCATTTCTGCAGGTCATCACCACTTCTGTCTGCCTCTCTTTTCCTAGCGGATGACATGGGCTTGGGGAAGACTCTAACAATGATTGCTCTCGTTCTGGCTCAGAAGAAGCTGAAGACAGAGAAAAGAAAGGAGAAGTTAGAAATATGGCTATCCAAAAATGGTACAGAATTGTTTCTACCATACAGTATATATGTTGTGACGCAGTGCCATTTGAAATACCTAAAGCATTATAGGTTAACGACTCCTAAAACAAAAGACTCTTATCTATGCATACTTCCCTTCTCTGCACTCCCTTGCAAGATGTTTCTCTTGATCAGTGTCACTTGTACTTGTCATGGATGTGTCAGATTCCCCAACCTATCACTTTATATTGTTTAAGGAATTTTTTATTCTTATTATTTTTGTTAAAATGGTTAGCTCCCTGAACCGAGTAGAACCAGCATGCACTGGTTTCAACTAGTTGAATGCTTACGTAGTTTTCTTAGCATGAAGACTTGCATTAATTACTCCTTACCTTCCTGTGACCGGTTCTTTCTATGGGATTACTTTACCTTGTTTATGGAGATAATGGACATTACAGAGTTTTTAAGAAACGGTATGGTTCCTGTGTGTCCACAACATCTGTCATTGTCTCCATCTTCATGTAATTGGTTGGACTATTTTCTTCTGTTTCCCCACTTTTACTGACTGTATAATTGTTTTTTTCTATGTGGTTCAAAATGGTGATATTTCAGTTTTCCTAAAACAGAAAAGATGCATTTATTTGGAACTATATTCTCAAGAAAGATCAGGGTTAGTTCCTTACTGTTGACCTTTCAACTTACCCAAAGGAGTTGCACAGATGTATAGCATAACTTTCTAAGTGGAGAGGAAGTGATGCTTTTAGTGTTTAAGTAAGGTTTTTTTCCTCCTAGAATTAACTGCCCCAAGGAATATGATATGGAGAAGTCTGCTTCACAAAGTATGCTCACAGGAAAAGTGGACTGATCTTAATTGCTTTGACTTACCAAAACTTTTGTCTTTGTTGTGAAGACATTGAAATCTGTTTGCCGTGTTTTCCTGCAGATTCCACTGTTATCCCTTCCCACAGCACTTTAATCGTCTGTCCTGCGTCCTTGATCCACCACTGGAAGAAAGAGGTTGACAGACATGTAGGCTATGGCAAACTGAGGGTTTATCTGTACCATGGGCCAAACCGAGATAAACATGCAGAGGCGTAAGTGCCAAACTATAAATATGAGCAAGAGATTCTATATGTCAAAACCTAAATTCAGTGACTCTAGTATGATGGAAGGAACCTGAAGTATAAAAAGGTAGAGGATCCAGGAGGTCAGGCTGACATCTGCTGTTAAGATGCATTATTGTTAGAATTATATAGTAAAATTATAACGGGTCTGGTCTGTACCAATACTGAGTGTTCTGGTTCAGGCTATTATTTCTCTTGATAACAATAAAAAAAAATTTACATCCTCTAAAACTAGTCTCTAGCTTGAAGACATTGTCAGTGGCTGTTTCTTCCACGCTTGTGCTTTGTGTGGATATTTCTTTTGGTTTTTGATTTTTGTTTTTTAATCAGTTTTGTGGGTAAGTCAGAAAACTTTCCATGCTACTTTGGCCATTCTGAGCCGTGTTTCTAGGTGCCAACTTCTAAGCAGCGTGGTGTGGATTCAATACCACCGACTTTCACTGTCGTCTTGAGGTTGGTGTTTAGCTTTGTCTACTCTCAGTATTCATAAAATGAGGACAACATGGCATTCTTTGACTCCCGTGAAGCTCAGTTTCCTGTAAAACTCTGCATTTCAGCTCTTGTAGAACTGTGTTCTTCAACTTTGAGCATGTGTTTTCTCTGCCTTGTAAAATGAATTCCTCGTTTGTTCTTGCTCCTCATTTGTATGTCCCTTTATACAGGCTCTCCGAATATGATGTTGTCATCACAACCTACAGCCTTCTCTCCAAGGAGGTTCCCACAAGCAAAGAGGAGGGGGAAGTCCCTGCTGTAGACCATGATGTGGAGGTGAGAAACCATGTTGTTGCTAGAGGATTGCCATAATGGTTTGTTCCAAGTTAGTGTAAGCCATTAGCGTTTCAAAGAGCACCTTATAGTACAGTGAGCAGTGGACTGAAGAAGAAATACTTTTTTTCCATAAGTCTCCCGTTGGGTTTGCACAAACAAAACGAAATGTTGAGAGAAGGTGTTGTGAAGCACAGAAAGAAGACAGGGAAAAACATTCACAATAAATCTATTTTGGTAGTAATCTTAAACATTTCAATAATGTTCAATGTTGTATTAAAAAATAATTGTAAGAGGAGCATGACGATGAATGCCTCTTCCTTTGAGGTGAGAGCGTGAAGGAGCACTAGAATCTCCTGTTTAGTGTTCTTTGCTGCTGGGAGAACTAACATCCCTTTAAACTACAAGCAGCCTGTCACACTTAAGCTCTGAGTCAGGGTGAACAGAGATTGAGGCAGTTCACGTGCTGCTGTCTTAAATGAAGAAACAGCTATGTATTTGCTAGGCTGTGAAATGGTTAAAGTGACTGCAGAATACCAATTGAATTTGGTTACACAGTATAGAAGTAGTATGCTTTGGATCCAGTCTCTCCTATCTTGCTTATGTTTGATATTTTTGTTACTTAGCTCTGCGTACAGATCCACTTGCAGCTCTTAAAGCAAACAAGCCTTTGAATTTCTTCAAAGTTAAAGGTGGCAGTTGTCCCTATAACACTGTAGAGAGGTCTTGTATTTAAAAGTGCAAGATATGCCACAACAGTGTAACTGTATGCGTTTGTCCCAGCGTAGCAAAACTGGACTGATGCAGAATGCCTTTTGGGAGGGAACGTAAGAAAAACAGCAAAAGATTAGAAGTTGTCATCAAGAATAGGCAAACGTTATTCTTCAGTGTATTAATTTTTGTGGAAGCTCTGGAGAAATGCTTTACAGAAAAAGAAGTGCTTAGGGCAGTGAAACAGAAAGACTCCCAACAGGAAGTATGAAAGTAAGAGCTCAGATTACTGCTGACTAACGCAAGCAACAGGCTTCTTGCTAGAAAAATAATCTATGAGCCTGTGGCTCTTTAGAGAGCCTCGCCAGGCTACTGCTCTGGGTTGAAAATACAGTCTGCTTTTTCTTTCAGGGTAGGTCACGTCCTTGTTCACCTTTGCTCAGGGTAGCTTGGGCTCGAGTTATATTGGATGAAGCTCACAATATTAAAAACCCAAAGGTTCAAACCTCTATAGCTGTGTGCAAACTGAGAGCCAGTGCCAGATGGGCTGTCACTGGGACACCAATACAGAACAACCTGTTGGACATGTACTCTCTCCTGAGGTGAGTTGACTGCCCGTAAGAAGTGGGATAGGGCTTCAGTTCCAGTGGTTCTACAGTGACAGAGTACTGAAGGTGTTTGTAAGTTGGAGAGGTTTCTAAGGCGAAAGAGGTAGTGGGATTAGCGGTTTTGACTTTACAGGTATTGGATTACAAACCAGTTGCTGAGGCAGTCCACAAGCCTACCCACGTGCTACTGACCTGTTGCTTGCAGCTATTCTGCTTTCATAGAGAACAAACAGGAAATTAGTTGAACTCTCCTTTGTCTCCAAGATGAATACCCACAAAACAAATTTTAATGAACAGATGTTTTATATGATAATCCTTGCTCCTACCAGGCAGCCCGGGTAGAAAGCTCGTTAAAGGAAGTGTTTTGTTACAACGGCTTTTAAGGAAAGGATAAAAACTGTGGCTTCTCTAAACAAATGATGTACAAGTTAAGCACTCTGCATCTCGGTGTTGAGGGGAGGAAGATTATGGAGGGTGCTGGAGGACCTGAGAGAACTCATTTGAAATTAGTTTGTATAACTGAAGCTAATTTTCAGTTAAGAACAATGGGATTTTGGAATAACAAATGAATAGGCTTTTAGTAAATGCGTTTGCTACTCGATATGCTCTATTTGCTGGTGATGCTTGAGAGAGAACAAGAGGAAGTGGTAGGTACAGAATGAGGAAGACTGTTTCACAGTGCTAAGGGTGGTAAGATTTTTGAGGAAACGTGTTATTGGTGTGCTGAAGCTGAATGTGTTTTACCATTCCTAGCAGATATGACTGAATTGGAAATGTGTTGTTTTGGATAGCAAGGAGTTTGGTTCTGGTCACTCAGGAGTAACTGAGGAAATTCTCTTCCCTCCTGTTGTAGGTTTCTGCGTTGCTCTCCTTTTGATGAATACAAGGTGTGGAAGTTCCAGGTAGACAACAATACGAAGAAGGGAGGGGAGAGGCTGAGCCTCTTAACCAGGAGCCTCTTGTTACGGAGAACTAAGGACCAGCTGGATTCAACTGGCAAGCCCTTGGTAAGAACCTCTCTCTCTGCAACTAGAGAATCATTCAGTCATTTTCTTTGCAGCATCCAATTGTTAGTTCTTTAGAGGCATGTGTCTGTTAATGAGTAGGTTTTCCTATCTGCTGTAGTCCCTTCATTAAGACGAGTAAATACCTGTGGGTTTGAATGCTTATGCAGAAAGCAGAAATACATAGTTTTAATGTGGCTAAGGATAAGAATTAAACTTTTGTTATAAATCACTGGTAGAGCAGAATATGTAAATTGCAAGTAGACATCTATTTAGTCTAGATCTCTGAGAACCAAAGCTGCTGGGCATCAAATGGAGCTGGTGCATGTTGGGAGCCTTGACTTTCTGCGTTATGCTTTACTCAATTTAACAGAATGTTTGTACTGGGTCACTGGTTTATTTGTAAGCCTATAAAAGGTGCAGTTCTGCTATACTGCCCGAATTCTGAATGGGGAACTGAGAAGCTGCTGCTTTTTTTTCCCCCCTCTTTTCCCTCCAACACAATAAATTAGTTGTCTTTCCATGGTAGCATGTGGCAGGCCATACGTGGTTGCTCTTGCCTTTTGTTACTGGATGATTTGGAATAAAAAATTGATATCTTGAGTGTTAACCAGGCTACTTGGAGTTTTGTGGGCATCTCTGTTTTGACGTAATTGCATTAATGTTAATAAGTTTAATGAAGAAAGTCAAAAACACCTTCTGAGACCTAGAATACTGTGTTAATTCTTAGAATGCTGGTATTTGCGATGCTCTGTAAGGATTTTGCGTTATATACATCTGGTCCTGTGTATTTTTACTTCAGGTATCTCTGCCGCAGCGTAGCACTCGGTTGCATCAGTTAAAACTTTCAGAGGAGGAGCAATCAGTGTACAACGTGCTCTTTGCAAGATCCAGGTACGAATGTGGGAAGAGACAGGATGTTCTTATGTGTATGTGTGTGTGGCAGGGGGGGTTTTTTGTTTGTTTTTTGTTTCGTGCTAGCATGAAAAATTACAAGTTCGTTTAAATGAGAAGACCTTTTGGACCAATTCTGTTTCCTGTTAACTTTTTCCTTTCTGACTATCTGTCAAACAAGTTTGAAAATATCCTGCTTGTAGTAGCAAGAGTTGGGGCACTAGTGTAAAGGAAGACTGATAAATTTTACCTCCGTTTTGTCTAAAAATATAATGCAAGAGTCTTGCAGCACCCTTTGCCTTTTTTTAATCCTAGTATTTAATATTTCCAGTATTTCTATTAATAATTGAAGGTAATGCATTCTTTTTTTCTCCCATATGTTTGTTTCTTGTATGAGCTATGTATTCTAGTCTTACACTTAATCCCACTGATGCCTGAGACATTTTTTTTCCGAGCTTTGATAGTAATTCTTAGGTGATGTGCCAGCACCTACAGAGGAGAGAGTTTATCTTTTTTGTACTGTGATATTTTTACAACTTGAAATTATATTTGCCTCTTTATTATTATTAGGCTGCAATGCAAACCAGTGTCATTTTGCATTGTCTCAGAGTCTCTTTCAACAGTGCTGCTGTAAAAACTCTTCCTTCCAGTTGAGTGTACCTTTAAAGATGTCCTTTTGTGTTTTCATGAATAGTATTATCCATTGGGTACCTAACTCCTATTATGCTCAAATAATTTCAATAATCAGACTTTCCTCCTCTGTTTTCTAAAATGGATCTTGCTTGTGATCTTTGAGTTAAACAAAACTGCCTTTTTGTGACCTGAGGAATGTAAGTTAATGGAGTTCAAGAAATATACTGAATAGTTAATGAGCTCCTCTTTACCTCAATATTTCATCAGCTTGTTTGTTAAATGGGTAGCTCTGCCTTTTTCTTTTTTTTTCCTGCTGTAAATCCTACAGTCTTTGTCTTGTTTTTCCAGGTCAACGCTACAGTCCTATCTAAAAAGACAAGAGCAGAAGAATCTGTGCAGAGAGTATTCTGGTGATAACCCATTTGAGAGAGGTTTGAACACCCTCCCCTGAAAAATATTTGTAGAAGTACCTCTGTGAAGTGCGCAGTTAGAGAAGGGGAACAGACTTGGAAATTCCTTGGGAAACGCTTTTACTGCTGTTATGGAGAATCCTGCCATAGAGGCTTTGGGTTTGAAGTGTTGAAGTCATACCTGTAAAACCTATTCCCGCTTAACTTTTAGGGAATTTCTTTTTAAGTATTGATGGGCAGACTGGCTGATTCAGACCTACTTGCTGTGAGTTATAAAGGGCAGCATGGTTGAAGGGATGCCAGAGTAATTGTTGGAGATTGTTAATGGACGGTATTGGGTAGTGACTGAAGTGGGACTGAGTTAGTATTCCTAAGGTCTATCCTCACATTAGGGGCTGGGCAAATCCATTAACCTATCTGTGCTTAAAAATCCCTTCCGAAATAAAGGTGTAATCGCTCAGGGAAGAGGTGTCAGTGTTGGTATGATATATGTGATATCTTTATTTGTGTTATCTTATTTTTTTTAAGTGGGGTTGATGGATTCTTGCATTAAATCAGGAATTTGCTTGCCCATTGGTTCTTGCTTTTACTGATCGAACTTTTGCTGGAAGTGGCTGGGCCAGTGCTTGGAAATGCCTCTGAGGGCTGTTGGTAGTCTCTCTTCCTTTCTTGGCAGTTGCGCAAGAGTTTGGAGCCAGTCAAAAGGAACTTCTAGCAGGCTCCCAAAGTGCCTCCCCAGTCTCAAGTACTGTTCACGTCTTGTCCATGCTTTTGAGGCTCCGTCAGTGCTGCTGCCACCTCTCCTTACTGAAAATGGTAATTGCATAGTTTTGTAATGTGGATGGAAGGTTTTTATGGTTGGGGGTCTCTTGCTGGGGCTTACTTGCTTTCTTTCTTCTAACTGTTTAAATTAACTGGTAAGTGTACTGCAACACTGCTGGATCATTTAGCTAAGGATGTATGAGTTAAGTCGTTTCTTGAATCGCATGCTTTAGCGCATGAAAGGTTTGTAGTTGGACATACTTCCTGCTGTAGTCAGTTGAGTTCCCTAGCATGGACGGCATGGGCAGCTGTGACTCTTGAAATGCCTTTATACAGATCGAAAAAAGAAGGGAGGAGAGAAGAATTTCAAGGGCACAGAAGCAAAAAAGAGGATAGGTCTTGATCTTAATCTAGTCTTGAAAAGCCCACAAATGCAGCCTATTTTAAAGGCTTGTGTGTCAGATTGCCAGTTTAAATCTCTTTACCTCAACCCAAGTTGCCCTGCATGAAGTAGGCTAATCTTTCTGAGTTTGTTTTGCTCTGTCATATAAAGCAGCCATAGCATAAGCCCAGATGCTATGGGAACAGGCAGGGATGGTCCCCCAAACATCTTTAATCCTGCAAAAGTTAATGCTATGGCGGGGACACTGAGGAGATGGGACCACATAAAATAGCTGTGCTTACATGCTATCCCTAAACAGCTGCTGACTGGGACAGATTTTTTTTTTTTTTTTTTAAATCCTGCAGGCTCTGGACCAAGTTAACTTGACCAGCGAAGGCCTTTCCCTCTCCCTTGAGGAACAGCTTAGTGCTTTGACCCTGTCTGAGCTCCAGACTCCTGATTCCAAGACAACCGTCTACCTCAATGGCACAGCTTTTAAAATGGATCTCTTTGAAATCACCAGGGAGAGCACCAAGGTACGCTGACTGTAATTTTGTGCGCTCCCTTGAGAAACTTAGGTTTCAGCACTTCATTTATAAACGGTTAACGAAGTGTCATGCCTTGAAAATTGCAGATCAGGATAACCTGGCAGTTTAGATGAAATCAGATGAGTGGATTGATCTGCCAAACCCCTGCTGGGAAGGCTCCAACTTTTACCAGGCTTTGAAGAGCCTAATAAAATTGTGACGGCCTGGCTATGCTGAGAAAGTGTCTGTGCAAATCTTGACCACTGACTCCAAAGAAGTTTAGAAAAATATGCATGTGAGAGCATGCTGCTTGTGAAGAACTAGAGAAAATGGGATGGCAGTGAGAGGAGAAATAATAGTAACCTGGCTTCTCACAGAAGGGCTGGAATCTATAAAACATGTTTGTATCACTTGATTTTTTTTTTTACCCTGTTTTTCATGGAGGGAGTTCTTACCAATGACTCTTAAAGGATCTTGAAAGTCTGAGCACAGAAGACGTTATACTAAAAAGAAAAAAAAAAAACCTCTCTGTTATAATGAAGAGTAGCTAAGTACAAGCTGGATTGTGACAGCAAGCAGACTAACTTTTTTTCTTGCAGATAACTCACCTCTTGGCTGAACTGAAAATTATCCAGAGTCATTCAGAGTCTCAGAAAAGGTTAGCAAACTTGCACTTTCCTTTCATCATAGCGATTGAGAGAAGGGTATATTTTCTCAGTAACAGAGGTAGTTTAAGACACTTGAATACAAAACTCCTGATACGATAAATGCTGATAGTACTGCAGCACTTCAAAGCTGATTGTGAGAAAAATCCAAGGAAAGACAAAAGTAAGAGCTGGAACTCTGAATGCATTTTAAGGGGGTAGGCAAGTGTAAACTAGGGAGGAGCGTGTGAAGAATCTCAAAAATGAAACTGGGAAGAATTTGATCATACTGAAAAATATTTGTGCTCAGCTCTGGCCAAGAAAAAAAAAAAAAGCAGTGGGGGAATAAAGCAGTGCTTAGAACTGAGCCTGAGATAAATGAACATATTGATCTCATTGTGTTGCTGAAGTCCTGCAGCTCTAGCTGTACAAGTTGTCATTGCCTTTCTTGGAACAAAATTATTGAATGAGTTGTTGCCTACCCAAAACGTTTAATCTGAAGAACGTGGGGAGTGAGAGGATCAGGGAAATCCAAGTTTGGTGTTGCTATGGATTAATGTTGTGGAAAATACTCTGATATTGTACTAGCACTAGACTAGCAGGTGAATCTAACTATTCCTGAATTAGGAAGGGATGCCTTTGTCCAGTTTGCAGTGGGGGAAAGTGCTTGTATTTGGTTATTGCAGTGTTTCACCCAAAAGAAGCAATCTGTTGCAGTACACACAGCACTTGTCTTGAACTCCCTGTTCTGTCTCCAGTGTTATTGTGTCTCAGTGGACAAGTATGCTGAAAGTTGTGGCTGTGCACCTGCAGCGACTAGGCCTAAAGTACGCTACGGTGGATGGCTCTGTCAATCCTAAACAAAGAATGGATGTGGTAGAAGAGTTCAATAACAATCCTAAAGGGCCTCAGGTATGAAACTGGGCACTGCTGTGAACAGATGTGATAACTGACTTCATGACTCCGCTTACTGGTATCACTTTCCATTTCGATCTCAAGGTGCCAAGATCAGCAGGGAAAGGAGTAGCTGCAAAAACAAATGCATATGTTAAAATAAGCAGGAGCAGCTGCTAAAGCTCCCCCGACGTTAGTCTTCTGTATGGAGATCATGCAACTCCTAGGCTAGCGCAAAGCTTGTCTGAGTTTTCAGCGTGCTCAAAAATCTTCCTGCCCTAAAGAGTAATGTGGAAGATGTGGGGCCAATTAGCTCCGCTCAGAGCAGGTCAATTGTTTCCAGCTAGTCAAAATTCATTGCTCGTAGTGGTCAATGTTCATCTGAACATTGACATTGCTGTGATTTAGGCAGGACAGGCTGTCTCCTCTGAGGATGGATCTCTCATTGGAAAGGGTGAATGCAGTGCATTAACTAGTTTTCTTTGCTAGACTCCTTGAACAAGCTGCTATCTTAAAAATAGATCTTTCTCCTCCTTGCTTTTTAACTTAAATTCAAGAAGTTCTCTGCCAGCTCTATGAGTTGACTTCTCAAAAAAGATCAAGATTTTAACTTCCCATGTACTTTAACCATGTAATTGAGCAATAAATGCATATAACAAATGTCTCTGTCATTTACTGATTGAGTTCTTTTCCTGTTTCTGCTGAAAAAGAAAGCATCTCTGAATTGACCATCTGCCCTTTCCTCATCAGCTACTCATCTTTTTCTCAATACTAGGCTATGTGGAATCAAAGTGAAATGAATAGCGCACATGTGCGCGCGCACACACACACACACACACACGCACACATGGGTTATACATGTGCAGTAGTGAGCTGGCCTATCTTAGAGCCATAGCTTCCATGTCCAGGCTTCTGTATCTCATCAGTTAACATCTGACAGACTCCTAAATATATCCTAATAAATATACCTATAGAATATAAGTATGATGAGCAGGTTTCTTTGGTCTAATCTTTGTTTCAAATTAATACATGGAATATATGAAGCATTCATTTTCTGGAAATGAGCTCTCTTTTCTTCCCTTTGAAGGTAATGTTGGTCTCGTTGCTGGCTGGAGGCGTTGGTCTGAACTTGACTGGAGGAAACCACCTCTTTCTCCTTGACATGCACTGGTAAAGAGAAATAAAAGTTTAATCTCCAAGGATGTAGGCAGGGCACAGTGCTTTTTTTCTAACTGTGTGTACTGTGATTTCTTACACAATTGAGTAGTAGGGGAGAGTTTAGCTGAGAGTAAAGGCTAATGCTTAGCTGCAGGGAAAAGTGGTTTCCTCCAAAACACTCTAATCTGTCAGTCCAGTGCTTTCCGCTATGAAATACGGTACTGCAGGGGGTACTGTAAGAGGATAACAACAATCCAGAGAAGCTTAAGTATGCAGTTTGTATCATAAAAGGATACTGGGGAACTGGCAGTCCCTAACTTAATTTCTTGCAGTAATAAAAACAGTGCAGTGATCCACTCTGCAGGGAGTTTGTCTCGAAACAAGTTGATAAGGAACAGTCAGTAACTGGGCATGACTAGTGTACCTTGGAGTTTTACAAGGCTATGAATATGTGCTTCAGCACGTAAGGTAGCTGCTGAGTAGCAGCGTTAAGGAGACATTTCTACATTATAGAAGTTATGCCAACAGATATTCCCTGTCTCTGTCTGTCAAACAGTGAACCGTTTCTTGTGGAAATATTCTTGAGTGAAGGCCTTTTTCAATGGAGTTTGCCTTTCTGCTTTTCTCCTGTTACCTCACCAGCTACTCAGCTTTCTGCAAATAGTAACTACTGGCCAGAAATATGGAGTTAGGTGGAACAATGGTCTAATACAAACAGTTAATTTTGTGTGGAGTTGTAGCAGATTTCTACCCAGGGCTAAGGGAAATAGGGCTGGGTTGAATAATGGCAATCAGTGGTGATCAAGTTAGTAAATCTAAGGTAATTTGAGAGCAGGTTGTAGTTGTTCTACAGAGCAAGAAAACAGGATGCTTTGGAGGCAGACAAATGAGACGAGCACAAGTGCCTTGATATTTCTATTATTCCTGAATTTAATAAGCCCCAAGGCTATGCTAGCTATTTCTTCCCTTGCAGGAATCCTGCTCTTGAGGACCAGGCATGTGACCGCATTTACCGAGTGGGGCAGCGGAGAGATGTTGTGATACACAGGTCAGGATCATCCTTAGGCAGCTACTGCTCATGTACCATCTGGCTTTAGTTTGGGGGACAAGGCCTTGGTCTGAGGCCTCTTTCCTGACATGTTGGGCACAAGGTCTGAAGGTGGGATTGAGGGTCACTGAGGTAAAAGAGAACGTATGAAGATGATATGTGGCTCTTGCCTGTATGGTGTTGTCTGGATTGCTAGCAATGATTTAAAAAAAAAAAAAAAAAAAAAAAGAGGGGGGGGGGGGGGGAGGGGACATGGGGGGTCAGTATTTGGGTTGGTGGGAATATCCTGTCTATTCCTGGGAACTCCTCTGTCCCTATCATCTTTTATCAAGTGGAGATGTTCATTGTAAAGACAGGACAATAATTGCCATTTCTTATGGCTATTAAATATCAAATTTTTTTGGTCTTAGTGGTTATAGTGCTGAATAAAAAAGGACCAGAAATGGTCATGCATCTGCCATGCTTAGGGGTAGCATGCTTCCCTGCCTTCTCTGAGCAGATTTGTTTTGGAGAGCGGAGCAGTTCAAAGCCACCCAGAAGGTGGGTTAGCTAAGTATTGCAGGACAGTCGAGGATCTAATGGCAATAACCACTTGTGAGTGCTTACTGACTTTTTATTAGCAGTCTGGGGATAGACACCATGCTCCCTAAGCTTAGACTTTCTTAATACGAGTAACATAAATATACATAGCGCTTCTGATAAATATCAAAGTTGGCCTTAAATTGAAAAAAAATCACAGATGCTTTTTCTTTTTTTTTTTTTTTTAAGGTATTAAAAGGCTAGCTTAGCTACTGTAAGCGTGCAGAAAATTCAGAGCACCTGGAATCTAGAAAGCTATTTTGTGTACAATGTTTTTAGCGTAATAGGTGTCATCAGTTACCACAGAAGTATTATGGAATTCATTACATAATTATTATTGCTTGAAATGATCAAACCTGAGGCCTCAAGCACATCAGACTTTTCTTTGAAGTGTTACAGTATCTGGATGTAAGAATGGCTATCTTCTGTGAAGAGGTACACTTGGTCAGTCATATAATAGGCTGCTAATATTTAACTGAGACAAGCACTTTCTCAATAAGTTTCCAAAGGCTTACAACACTGACCTTTTCTCCTAGCAATTGAGATGACATGGTTTTGTATTTTTAGGTTTGTCTGTGAAGGAACAGTGGAAGAAAAGATAGTAGAACTCCAGACGACAAAGAAAGACCTCGCCCAGCAGGTGCTGTCAGGCAAAGGAGAGTCCTTCTCTAAGCTCACTCTGGCTGATCTCAGAATTCTCTTTGGCATCTAATTTATCCTTTACAACAGAAGTGGAAAGCAATTTTGTACCTAGGAATACCTGAGGAGACTTCAGCAACACACCGCTGTTTAAGGTGGTCCTTTATTTTGAAAAAATAGCTAAATTTTTTTAACTGTTTCCAGAAGCCAAAAAACTTCCTTTCCTGAATTTGTTTTAATACTAAATCAAATAGTGTGTCCAAAGATTAATAAAGTTATAAATTAAGCTATTACTTAAAAGACTTTATTGATTTAAAAACAAACACTTGCTTGTTTCATGGATCCTTATGTGTGCTTTTTAGTTGGAAAACTTTCTCTTTCCCCTTCAGGATAGGAGAGCAACAGGCATAAGAGAAGCGAGAAAGTGAGAGATGAGCATGAGGTAGGAAAGATCAAAGGTTGAATGGTGAGGTTGGGTGGACATGATGAAAGATCCCTCCCCCCACCCAACCAAAGAAAAACCAAATTGTTTTTTGAGGGTGATGTTAAAAGAACATGACACAAACTTTAGAATGTATCAATAACAAAATGAAGGAAGGATTTAGAGGAATACTTCATTTTCCTTACTTTCAGGAGGGTGTTTTATATCTAAGTGAAGAAGCAGTATCCCTGCCCTGCTCAAAATATTATCCAAGCAGGAGACTGCATTCATTTCTGGTATGTTCCTCTGAAACAGAAAGGAAACCTGAATCCCTTATCCCTTCCCCCCCCCCACCGCTTTTTTCCCTCTCAAGTATTGAACAGTGTAAGGCTTCACCACTGCAAAATTTTCAATGTAGGCTTTTGTAATTAGTCTTTCTTAAAATATACTTACATTCTTAGAGTAGATGAGCTGCCAGTAATTGACTCATGCTTTGTATTCTCTCTCCTGTCAGAACTGATGTATGCTAGTGAATGAAGTTTCTAGGCAAACGTTCTTTATTGTTGTTGCCTCTCTGCTTCCACCTCACTCTGCTGTGTCCATAGCCATATCAACTGCATATTCTAGTTTTCTATTGATTGCACAGTCTCTCTGGGGTTTAGCACAAGACCCATGCAAAACAGGCCTTCCCTTTGCTGAAGACTTTTTCTGATGGTAAGTGGCAGAGTATGACATGTTACACTTACCAGAGTGCTGGTAAGTGACTAAACTGTGGTCCCTGTTTATGGCCATTCCCAGTGGAGCAAGATGATAGCATTTGGTATCCTTTTAAATGAAGGAGAGCTCTATTTGCTCATCAGCAGTTCCTCTTACTACTAGTAGAGTATGATACTGCTGTTAATCATTTCTCTTAGCTTCGCTCACACCACATCAAATCAAGGCAGGTATCGCATCATTCCAGCCTATTGCACAGATAGAGGGGCTTGGGGACAGAGGAAATAGTTGTTTGTATTTGTGTAGTGTGTACATTAGGCAGAGTGTTGCCAGCAGGTCGAGGGAGGTGATCCTGCCCCTCTCCTCAGCCCTGGGGAGGCCTCACCTGGAGTCCTGTGTCCAGTTCTGGGCTCCCCAGCACAAGAGAGACATGGCGCTACTGGAGAGAGTCCAGCGGAGGGCTACCAAGATGATTAGAGGGCTGGAGCACCTCTCCTAGGAAGAAAGACTGCAAGAGCTGGGCCTGTTCAGCCTGGAGAAGAGAAGATTGAGAGGCGATCTCATCAACGTGTACAAGTATCTGAAGGGGGAGTGTCAAGAGGATGAGGCCAGCCTCTTCTCCGTGGTGCCCAGCAACAGGACAAGAGGCAACGGGCACAAACTGAACCACAGGAAGTTCCATCTGAACCTGAGGAAAAACTTCTTCACTGTGAGGGTGACAGAGCATTGGAACAGGTTGCCCAGAGAGGTGGTGGAGTCTCCTTCGCTGGAGATATTCAAAACCCGTCTGGATGTGATCCTGGGCAATATGCTCTAGGTGACTCTGCTTGAGCAGGGAGGTTGGACTAGATGATCTCCAGAGGTCCCTTCCAACCTCAACCATTCTGTGATTCTGTGTATATATGTGTGTGCACACATATACACACACATGTAGCTTCAACTGTGACGAAATGCCTTGAGCGGCTCTCAGAATCAAGGAGTGCTGTGCAGCCTAGGCAATTTAACTGTACTTACGACTCTCAGCTTGTGGAACATAGCATGTTTTTCATACCATACTGGTTTTCTGCAAAACACGCCAGACTGCCCCTCTTCACAAAAGAGGGGGCCACGGGCTAACTTTCCAAAACTACCTTCTTGAAAAAATACACGAGTGGAACTTGGGCTATGGTTGCCTCTCTGGAGTTCACGCTTACTCTCTGATCTGAGCTCCTACTGCTTTCCTTGGAGTGACTGTTAGCCTAGCATGTTTTCTTCTTGAAGATATATTGCCAGATACCGCTAAAATCAATCTCTCATACACATGGCCCCTTCATCCTTTGTGTCCTCCTTTGGCTTAATTTAACTGTAGTCTGAATACAGTATAACTCTTAGATATTGCAGGTATCACCATTAGGATGAATTGTTTTTTTCTATTTGTATGGGGTTCGTTCTTGGAAAGGGCTTTAGCCTCTCTTATGAAGCCCAAAAAACTGGGGGATATGAAGTGACCGAGTCCACTCTACGTTCAGCTTAGTCCAGAGAAATTCTGAAGCTGAAGGTCTAGCAAGTACCTCGAGTTACTGTCTTCTGAAATGGCAAATCAATATAGCTAAGAGAAAGGAGAACACTGCTTTGTTTTTATTGCTATGCAATAGAATATCTCATTACTACCTTAATGAAGAATGTTTATTTTTGGTATTAAAGATCAAAGGAGTGTTTTTAAGATTATTGATTACGTTTATATGGGAGGAATTAAGACTATGGGGTGTTTTTTCGTTTGAGTTTGTTTTGCGCTATCTTCAGAGCTGTGAGCTAAGTGTTTCTGGAAATATTACTAAGCAATGCTAGCCCACATGTAACCAGGTACTTACATTTCACTACAATACAAAATTAAGAGGGCTTTGTTTCCTTACAGGAAAAATCTGAATTTTTTTTAATACTCTTAATATTTAGAAGAAAGAACCCCGAGGGTGCTTTTTCTACCCCTCTATCAAAAAACTGTCTCCCTTTGTCTCTCATGCTCTACTCCTGAAATCATCTTCTACGGGCTTACTAGAAGTAAAGCAGAACAACCAGATTACCGTTTATTCAGGAAAGGATGATGGAGTAGGGAGTTAGCAAGGCTGCAGTACTTGGCCTCTTACGTAAGTACTTAATCATATGCTGGACCTTATAGACAGCTAATAGGGATGAGTAAGTAGCGTTCACATATGGAGCTTACTGAAATAGGGCAGTCACTAACTGTGACTGCATGGCTTTTTACAAGTACAAAGAAGCGTTTTATGGTGCTTCAAGGAGTAGTCTGTATATAGAAGTACAGACAAGGTACTGTCCTGGAGGTTGAGCAAATGTCAGAGGCTCTCATGGAAAACTTTTGCCCACCTACCCTGTGGAAGGTGAACTGAAGAAGAACCAATTTGCTATGGTTTTGCATTGAGCAAAAGCTTAACTTGCGTATCCTTTGGCACCCTGCATGTAGAAGTCAAAAGCCCTGGGCTGCTGCTGCAGCAGCCTCCGGTGTACTGCGATGCCACTGTCCTATAGCCGTGGTTTTCCTCTCCCCACTACAGTCCTCTTCAAATCCCCCATCCCCATCTTTCCCTTTCCTCATGGTGATCCTCTCCCTCCCCAGTCTCTCTGAGGGAAGAGGGGGGCTATGGCCACTGCGTCCCGCTACACACAGGCAGCTACAGCTAGAGAAGGCTGTTGAGGCTTCCCTGTTGCCATATTTGAACAGCAAGCTCTATTTCCGAAGCTGTAAGCAAAAATATTTTAGTGCTGAGAGAGGAAAAAAAATATATATATACACGTGTATATGTACATATTATGTATATAGGTACCTTAATTTCACCAGCTGTTCTACAGCTGAAGAGCCTCTGCTTTCCTCGCCCTGACTTGGGAGCAAGAGGCAGCAGGGGTGCCAGGTCCTGCAGTGGTGCTGGGTGCTGGGCCGCGGCCGCGGCGGGGACGC